TTGTATTGTTTTGGTTATAACTTCTAGTTCTCCCCCATCCCTTCTATTTCCAATGACTGTTGGCTGGGAACCCTTCTTCTAAATTGTGTATGTGTGTTTTTGGATGCCCGTGTGTTGGTTTGGCCCTCATTTTGTTGTTGGGTTTTTGTCCTCCCTTTATTCTTAATGAAAGATGTCTTTTCAGTAAACTATATTTTTCCCACAAAAAGTATTGTCTGATACAAATGGGGCAAAGAATAGGGAATATGTCTTTAAGTTTACCTGCCAAATTACAATTACCTAACAAGATACTCAACATGATATTTCCTGATTGATAGTATGTTTCAATTATTTGATTGTCAACTCATACAGAAGTCGCTCTTATAAACATGGTACCGTTGGGACTGCTTCATCTCTGCTTAATATTTGTTCTGTTTATTATTTTTTATATACATTTTGAGCATTACTCTTCTTCTTTTAGATGTTGTGTCAATTTCCAGAAGAAATGAGAATTTCCAGCTTCTTTTATGGCACAAAAGGCTGATTCCGTCTTCACTCAGTCAGGGATGAAGAGCTAAGGTTAGCTACTGTTCTTTGATATTAAACTTTTACCTGTTATTTGTTACAAGAATTCTGTTGTATAGAATGTATGCTGTTTAGGGTTCGTAGGATAAATGATTCAATTGCAAATCCAGATGGAATATCATATTTTGAAAACCGCTTTTATAAAAAATATTTAACAATCGTTATGTTTTTTTTCTTCATTACTTGAAGTCAGTTGTTTTTTCTTCTCGGTGTTATTATCATGTGAGAGTGAGAATCCTAAAGGGAAACTAATATCATAATACCCTTGAGGAACAAGTTCGTTCGTTGTCAATGAAATATATAATTGGGTGACACATGATGTGTTTGATATTGTTTTTGGGATTTTGCTCTTATATTGTTACGGATACATGAATCTGGTAATATTATTTATTACTATTCTAGGAACAAGGTGAGGTTGTTGCTTCTATGATTTTGTCGTTCAAAAACATTTTATTATTATGGAATTTATTAGACTTAAATTCTAGTTCGTTTTCAACCCATGCTAATATGAGCTCAAGGTTTACTTCGTAATTCTTGGACCCATATTAGGTATCATGTGCCTAAGTTCTAGCATCGACTTTTTCCTAGTGCATGTGGTCTATGGTTTGACAAATTACTGGTGAAAGAATCTTGTAATAGTGCAGGTCAGTTTTTGACTTAGAATTATTGGTGAATCTATTAGTTTAGTGCCTAAATTTTCCAAGTTGTCTAAATATGTTTTTGAACTTTTACTTGTGTCTAATTAGTTCTCCAATCAAATTCAATGTTTTGCTAAAAGACAATTAATAGAATTGATCTTGACGTTTCAATTCTATATTTAATAGCGTCGGAGTAGACATTAATGCAATTGGAGTAAATGTAAAATATGTATTTAAAAAAAAAAATTATTGAAGTTAGTTGTTTATGGAGGATTTGAAAAACAAGTTTGCGACTGATGCTTTATATCCATGAAAAGGTTATTGGTGGTTATGTTGTGTGGATTAGATCGAATTACAAGAAAGAAAAGTCTAGGATTTGTATGTAAACATTGCACACATGCTTGAAAGCAATTACTCTGTAAGCCGTGTTGCTTGTATGTCTTGAAGTTTCCTTTCCTTTTGATTCTGCAGTATTTGGAATGTGAAGCAGACAAGAAATCCACCCAACTTGTCCATATTCTTTCTAAGATCAATGCCAAAAAAATCATTAGTGTAAGTTATCTGTTGGATTGGATTTAAATACTTTCTATTTTACAATCAATGCGGTTAAATAAAAATTATATAAATTTACAAAGCTTTCCCCCATTTTAGTATGGTTTTTTCTTGTACAGATACGCTATGACTTGTGCATCTGTTGAGACTACCACGACTTACCATTTTCAAGGGGGTTTTTCTTGATCCCTCCACATGGAAAGATGAAACAAGTAACTTTTCAAGAAGGGGGTTTGTGCATTCAGATGTTGAATGCTTCTTCCTTCTCTAACATCCCTCTTTTGAATCAAACACTAATCTCACTTCTGCACAGATTCAAATCAATGCCCGAACTCAAAAGAATTCATGCGCTGCTTTTCACTTCTGGCCTCTCTCAAGACGACGTTGCCATTTCCCCACTTCTCTCCTTCTCCGCCCTCTCCCCCGCCGGCGATCTCGATTACTCCTACAGATTGTTACTGAATCTCCCCAATCCCACCACCTTTAATTGGAACACTCTCATAAGGGGTTTTTCAAATGTCAAAAACCCAAATCGTTCGATTACGCTCTTTGTCAAAATGCTGCGAAATGGGGTCACCCCGGATTACTTAACGTACCCTTTTCTCGTAAAAGCGTCGGCACGTATATTGAATTGGGAGCTCGGGAAGGCGGTGCATGTTCATGTTGCGAAAACAGGGCATGAGAGTGACAAGTTTGTGCAGAATTCATTGATCCACATGTATGCCTCTTGCAGAGATATCGCGTCTGCACGCAAGGTGTTTGACGAAATGGCTGTGAAGAATTTGGTGTCTTGGAATGCTATGTTGGATGGGTATGCCAAATGTGGGGATGTGGGTATGGCCAAGGAGGTGTTTGATTTAATGCCTGAAAGGGATGTTGTGTCCTGGAGCTCTTTGATTGATGGGTATGTCAAGGGCGGGGAGTATGGGGAGGCCATGGCCCTGTTTGAGCGCATGTGTTGTGTTGGACCCATGGCTAATGAGGTGACTTTAGTTAGTGTTCTGTGTGCCTGCGCCCATTTGGGTGCGCTTGAAAAAGGGAGGATGATGCACAATTATATAGTTGAGAATGAGTTGCCATTGACTATTGTGCTGCAGACATCTCTGGTGGACATGTATGCCAAGTGTGGCGCAATACATGAAGCTTTATCCGTGTTTCGTGCAGGTTCAATGCAACGTACAGATGTTCTAATTTGGAATGCTATAATTGGAGGTCTGGCAACACATGGGTTGATTAAGGAGTCCATGGAATTGTTTTTAGAGATGCAAAAGTTTGGGATTGCACCCGATGAGATCACATATTTGTGCTTGTTAAGTTGTTGTGCTCATGGTGGATTGGTAAAGGAGGCTTGGTATTTCTTTGATTGCCTTCGTAAATGTGGTATGACGATGAAGGTCGAGCATTATGCTTGTATGGTGGATGCCTTATCACGAGCTGGTCAGGTAGTAGAGGCTTATCGATTCCTATGTCAAATGCCTGTGGAGCCAACATCGTCAATGTTAGGTGCTCTCATGAGTGGCTGCATGAAACATGGTAAACTAGACCTTGCAGAAGTAGTAGGAAGGAGGCTTGTTGAGTTGGATCCTAATCATGATGGTAGATATGTCGGCTTATCGAATATATATGCCGTTGACAAGCGTTGGGATGACGCCAGAAACATTAGAGAAGCTATGGAAAAGAGGGGAGTGAAGAAATCTCCTGGTTTCAGTTTTGTTGAAGTATTTGGATTCCTTCATAGATTCATTGCTCATGATAAAACGCACGGTGATTCTGAACAAATTTACATGATGCTGAACTTACTTATAGATCAAATGAAACCGGTTAAAGATTCTGAAAATCAAGAGTATTGTTTGTATTGACATCGTAAACGTCTCTTGATTCCGTAAACACATCAACTATCGTGGGTTTTCTGAGATATTCCACTTCTAGGTTCCTTCCAGCTCGTGGTATTCTTTATTGTGTTCTAATCATTGCCTCAAAGCTTTTGTGAGGAAAAGACAAAGGTCTTTAAGTTTATCATTGAAGCATTTTCATTAAATTAATTGTAAAAAAAGGCTTCAGTCATTGGAATTCCTCCACATGGACTTTTCTCACAAGAATCAACAAAAATATCTCACCACTTGTCTTGTCATTAAATATCTTCCTTCCACTTTTTTAGGGCCATATTCAACTCACAAGCATCTTTATTCTCTTCCCTTATCCTTTTGAAAACTAGGAAGATGTGGTGCCGCATGGCTTCCTCTGTACACACACAGCTGCAACAAGACACCATCCAATTCCAAGAAAATTGGGTCTGTACAACTCTTCTACTTCCAGGAATCTTTATGGCAACACTATGTCACGCAGGGCCACTGCTTCTTCAATCACAGACTTTGATCTTTATGATCTTCTTGGTATCGACTACACCTCCATTATTTGCTGGAAAAACTTCTGCTGTTGATTCTGTTGAAGGGAGAGCTAGAGCTGTTGCACAGTGGGCTGATCCTATATAAAAAAATAATGTAGGGCATTAAACCTTGCCCAGTTGACTGCATTTGTGAGTTCTTAATCTAACAATTAAGCTTGTTAAACATTCAAATTTCCTCTCTCTCTCCTGATTTGCAAGATTTCCTTTTTATGCTTGGCAAATTAAACCCAGGATGGTAGAAAGGTCAGACTTGGCAGCTCTAGGTTTCTAACACAACAACAATTACATCCGATAGCATTTGAAAAACGCTATCGTTGACTTTCTATGGCGATTTTGTAATGTGGTTGTAGGCCATGTTTTTGAAAGTGTTCGACTTCTCATAGCATTTTTTCAATGTTATGCAAACTGCTATAAGAAGTTTTTTGATTGAAACTTTTTATAACTTTAAAATAATGCTATGGCAGATATTTCATAGCATTTTCGATAGCGTCTAATAAATGTTATTATAAAAATTTGATAGCGTTTTTCTCAATGTCATGGTAGGCGATATTATGAAAAGTAGTTGTCCTTTTATAGTATTGATTCAGAACAATCTTATTAACCATTACTCTTCTAGTTTATGATGGGAAGATTAAGTGTTCTGTCGTACAATACTATTGATTGCAGACACTAAAACGTGTTGCAGCTTGTTGATAATTCTAATGAGTTGAAAAATTATTCTTATCCCAACCAAGCAGTGGGATGGGACAAAAATGCCTTCATTTAATTGGCATGGAGAATACAAGAATTGGTTATGTTGGAAACTTTTAGATGAATGGTGAGTTTCCTTAGCTACTCTCTTTCTCCTTGGTATGAGGTTGATTCTAGAAGGAGCTTGAGATTCTGATATATGAGTTTCACAACAGTGAAAATAAAAGTAATTGTGAGCCTCCAAGGAAGCTACTTGTGAATTTGGTGGGCGTGTTTTGGGAAGTAATGCTTGTTTTTACTATTTTTTCCACTGCATTTGCTTTGTTATCCACTCTGCAAATAGTATTTTATTATTTTATATCCCATTGTTGATGAGAAATTATAATGTGAGTTTATGCTTCTTATTAACCTATGTGTAATTGTTTATTTGAAAAGGTATGGGCTGCAGCTACATATTATTGATCTCGACCCCTAATAGACTTGTGGTGGTGGTTGGCATGAAGATTACCTCACTGGTGGAGAAGTACCAGATTTCTACAGAACCATATGATAAACGTGATGGTTAGTTTCTTGCAAAGCTTTCCGTACCATTTGAAAGCTTGTACGTAATTGCAACGATTGCTCGTCGAATAGAAAGCTCTCTCTGCACTAAACGACCCCTCTGGCCCCAATGGGCAATTGTGCATCAGTGCCAAGAATTATAGTATCAAAAGGCTTAGATTTTGGTCTCAACTATTTGAAGTTGATAGCTATTTTCCAACTGTCTTGAATCTGCATTTCTTATGCCATGTGTTTATGCAAGGATATGCACAACCACGTATTTCAGATTGCAGCTCGAACTCGGCTTCCGGATCGATCTGAACACTTGAGCGGACCTGCACAAAAATGTGAGCACTCCGACGATCAAGTCAGTATAGGTCGGGTTCCCAGTTTGGTTCGAGGTCCGAGATCATCGTACCTGATCGTGGAGTGAAGTCCTCTACTTATGGGTGGTAGTCCCGCTAATCTCGCAACGGTTACGCTCGGTAATCTCGGGATCGTCGGTTACGCCCGGTAATCTCGGGACTGACGATTATGCCCGATAATCACGCCGCCGTCAGTAATTCGCATCGGTCCCCACCGAACTTCCCGGTAGGTCGGACCTCGTCCAGGTTCACCTCGGCCCTCATACTTAGCATCTATCAATGCTAGTAGTGGTGATTTCGGCCGTCCGAGTTGGGCATGACTCATGAGTCATCTTGGAGCACCAATAGGGGTCCTCCACGCGTCCAGGGTATTTTCATCCCCAAACATTGGCCCCCTCTCTGTCTGGTC